TCCTCATGCGTGTGTGTCTGCTCCTCAGGCTGATCATGGAGTTCGAGATACGCACAGAAGCAGCCTCGGGGCTGGTTTTCTACATGGCAAGGATAAACCACGCTGACTTCGCCACCATCCAGCTGAAGGAGGGAATGGCTCACCTGAGCTACGATCTGGGCAGCGGCAACACCTCCGTCAGCGTGCCGCGCATCATCAACGACGGACAGTGGCACAAGGTCAGAGCGTCTGGCCTTTGACCCCTTCACTCACTCCCTGACCTGTTTCACAGCATGCAGAATTTTGAGATAAAGCTTTTGGCTCATCTGGACACAATACTGCGCTTTGATTGTATGGGTCGTACTTAGGCAAATATGTTTGAACAGCACATTACAAGCATCAAGCATGCTGTCATTGAACTAGTTTTTTTTTTTTTAACTGATTGATTTATTTTGACAGAAATTATTACTTTTGTTCATCAAGGATGCATTAAATTGATCAAAAGTGACAGTAAAGACATTTGTAATGTTACTAAAGATTTCTATTTTAAAGGGGTCATCGGATGCGACCTGCACTTTTACATGTTGTTTGAACTGAAATGTGTGTTGGCATGAACAGCAGTCGTCATTTACTCCCGACATCTGAGCCGCTGAACTCGCAGTGGATTACATTTGTTTCTGAAGGGAACGTGCCCCGATCTACATAAATGTGTTTATGTTCGCACGAATCATTCGTGATCCAGCTTCATCTACAGAAGTGAGTATAACATTTAAAGGAAAATGCTACAAAAACGGCTTGATCTGAAAAGAGCTGTTTTTGACAGGGTAAAAAAAGGGTGTTGTTTTACACTACCATTGAGACATTTTAACCAAAATATGTTACAGACTTTTCATTCAGATCCTAAAGAATCATACCAACTTGTGGAAAATGGACATCCAATGACCCCATCTGTGAATCCTGAAAAATAAAATGCATCACGGTTTCCACAAAAACATTGTGCAGCACAACCGTTTTCAACATTTTGATTTCTGAAGATCATGTGACACTGAAGACTGCAGTAATGGTGCTGAAAATTCAGCCTTGATCACAGGAATAGATTTCACTTTAACAGATATTCACACAGAAAACAGCTGTTTTAAACTGTAATAATTATAATGCACTGTATTTAACCGTATTTTTGTTCAAATAAATGCAGCCTTGGTAAGCAGAAGAGACTTTTTTCAGAAACATAAAAAAAAATCTTACAGACCGCTCGGAAGAGAGGGGCAGGGTCAGCAGAGCTCATTAACATTTAAAGGAAAATGCTACAAAAACGGCTTGATCTGAAAAGAGCTGTTTTTGACAGGGTAAAAAAAGGGTGTTGTTTTACACTACCATTGAGACATTTTAACCAAAATATGTTACAGACTTTTCATTCAGACCCTAAAGAATCATACCAACTTGTGGAAAATGGACATCCAATGACCCCATCTGTGAATCCTGAAAAATAAAATGCATCACGGTTTCCACAAAAACATTGTGCAGCACAACCGTTTTCAACATTTTGATTTCTGAAGATCATGTGACACTGAAGACTGCAGTAATGGTGCTGAAAATTCAGCCTTGATCACAGGAATAGATTTCACTTTAACAGATATTCACACAGAAAACAGCTGTTTTAAACTGTAATAATTATAATGCACTGTATTTAACAGTATTTTTGATCAAATAAATGCAGCCTTGGTAAGCAGAAGAGACTTTTTTCAGAAACATAAAAAAAAATCTTACAGACCTCAAACTTTTGAACTTTGTTTGTGTGAAGGTCAGAGTATTACAGTTTTGTTTTTTTTCAACTGCTTCCACACAATCTCTTCACTTGTCACACAGTTTCTGCAACAAACACCAGAACCACGCAGCAAATCTGCAAAACCATACGCTAATTCTCAGCCTTTGACTCAGTTTTCAATTTCATAAAACTCTTTTTGCAAAACACAACACACAATTCTCTGTGTAACACACACACAAATCTAACAGGAAGTATTGTGATTTCCTTTTTCAAACACAACCAATCAAAAAAAGCCACACTAACTCATCACTAACTCCTCACATGTGCTTCACTGAACACCAACCCGATCAATAAACACACATCTACACAGCTACACATGCTTGATGTGTTTCTTTTCTTTCGTACTGTGTAATACTGTATTCACAACGACAAATGCTTACGTTGAAAAAAAGTTTGCTTGCAATCTTGCTTTCGTGTTTACCGTGAGTTTTTCCACACCTCTCTGCCAATTACTTTCAGTCTTGAACAGAAATGTAGACAGGAGCTCATGAAAGAAGAGCTTTAGGTTTTGAATAACTGTGTGTATCCAAAAATATAATACTATGGCAAAGGTGTTTGCAACGCAAGACAAATGCTTGCTTTTGAGATGTGTTCGTGATCTTTTGAATGCAGCGCTACATTTTGCAAGAGATGTGAGGCATTTTGCATTTTGTGTGTGCGATTCTTGGATTCGTGTGTAAAGCTTTGAAAATGTGTGTAAGCAGTTTAAAACAAAGCAAGTGTTGATTTGTTCTCTTTCTGTTTGCAGATCCGTGTGACGAGAGAGAAGCAGAGAGGTTTTCTCGTGATTGACGGCCGTTACTCCAAACACACCACCAGCCCAAAGAAAGCTGATATTCTGGATGTGGTGGGAATGTTGTACGTGAGAGGTTTACCGCTGAACTACAGCAGCAGACGCATCGGACCGGTGAGAGCACAAGCACACACATTCAGAAGAGTCAAGTACCTTCACCTTCACCGTCTGATGCTGCCTGTGCTTTTGCAGGTGCTGCACAGTATCGACGCTTGCATTAGAAACTTCAAGATGATGCATCTGCCGCTGGACATGGAGAAACCCGCGTCTAGCTACCGCGTGGGCTCCTGCTTCGCCAACCCAGAAAAAGGAACTTATTTTGATGGCACTGGCTATGCTAAAGCTGGTGAGGATCCATTGTAGTCATTTACAGCTAGCGTTACAGATTTTTTTAACTGCTTACACACAAAATCTTCACTTGTCACACAATTTCTGAAAGCTGACACTCACCAAATCTGCAAAACCACACACTAATTCTCAGCTTAATCCTTAGGCATCGTCAAGAATCGGCTAAAAACACATCTCTTCCATCTTTATTTGACCCTCTAAATCTAGCACTCTATTCAAATTCTATTCTTAAAAAAAAAACGTGTCTCTTTTAGACTTGCACTCTATTCATTTACTAACTGCTTGTTTTCTTCTTTTTTTTTAAACTAACACTTGCTTCTCTAATCTTTTTGTATTCTATCTATTCCTTTTCTTTTTATTTATTATACAATTAACACAAGCAAAAAGGCCTCTAACACTAGCTTCTCTATTCTATCTGTTTTCTTTTTATTTATTGTATAATTTAAAAAAAACAAAACCTTGCTACATGTACTGCGTTAAGCTAACTGAGACTATAGCACTTGTATATCATTGCTCTTTTGTTGATTTGATTGCTTCTATTGTCCAGATTTTTAAGTCGCTTTGGATAAAAGCATCTGCTAAATGACTAAATGTAAATTCTCTGCCTTTTGATTGAATTTTCAATTTCATAAAACACTTTTTGCAAAACACAACACACAGTTCTCTATGTAACACAAAACTCTAACAGGAATTAATATTAAGGCAAAGGTGTTTGCAAATGTTTGCTTTTGAGATGTGTTTGTGATATTTTGAATGCAGTGCTTCATTTTGCAAGAGATGTGAGGCATTTTGCATTTTGTGTGTGCGATTCTTGGATTCGTGTGTAAAGCTTTGAAAAAAAAAGAGGCAAAGTTTTGTAAATGTGTGTAAGCATCTGAAAAAAAACTAATTTAAACATACATAGAAGTGTAATGTGTGTGTGTGTCTGTGTGTGTGTGTGTGTACAGTGGACACGTATCGAGTGGGTAACGATGTGTCCGTGGGTCTGGAGTTCAGGACGGCACAGAGCAGCGGCGTTCTGTTCGGCGTCAGTAGCCAGAAGATGGACGGACTGGGAATCGAACTTGTCAACGGAAAGGTACGCAAGAGGGGTCTGAATTTGATCATTTTCAGTTCCATTGAAGAGCTCAAGTAAATTGGGGGGGATAATATGGTTGTAATGTTGTTTTGTCTTTATATGTGACCCTGCAGCACAAAAGCAGTGTTAAGTCGCTGGGGTATATTTGTAGCAATAGCCAACAATACATTGTATGGGTCAAAATTATTCATTTTTCTTTTATGCCAAAAATCATTAGGATATTAAGTAAAGATCATGTTCCATGAAGATATTTTGTAAATTTCCTACTGTAAATATATCAAAACTTAATTTTTGATTAGTAATATGCATTGCTAAGAACTTCATTTGGACAACTTTAAAGATGATTTTCTCAATATTTAGATTTTTTTGCTCCCTCAGATTCCAGATTTTCAAATAGTTGTATCTCAGACAAATATTGTCCTATCATAACAAACCATACATCAATGGAAAGATTATTTATTCAGCTGTCAGATGATGCATAAATCTCAATTTGGAGAAATTGACCCTTATGACTGGGTTTGTGCTCCAGGGTCATATATGAGTTTGCCAGTAAGTGTGTCTGTGTTTGTTGCTGTAGCTTTTATTCCATGCTGATAATGGAGTGGGGCGCTTCACAGCCGTATATGAGCCGGATCCGGAGGCGGGGCTTTGTGATGGACAGTGGCACACCGTCTCTGCCCACAAACTGAAGCACCGCCTGGAGCTCGTCGTGGACGGCAAGAAGTCCGAGGCAGCGAGTCCAGACGCCCGCTCTGCCTCCGCCGATACCAATGACCCGGTGTATGTGGGCGGATACCCCGGTGCGTCAATCAAACTCTGTCGCCATGGTGTCAGTGTTAAGAATGTTCAAACATTCCTTCATGACTCGCCGTGGGAGTTATTAACAAGCTAACAGGCAATAGCCATTGAAAACTGAATAACTGAATTTCACGATAACTGAGGTCTAGGGGCTATTTAACTACCATATAAGTTTCAAAACAGTCAGTCCACAGTACAATGCACACAGCCTGCATAAAGCAGCTGTGATTTTTCACGAACCGTTGTGACTTCCGTAAAA